TTCATTTGGAAAATCGCTAACGGTTCGTGCTTTGATTGATCCTTGCGCAGAGAGATGTTTCATCACGCTACGTACCGTGCAGCATTTAAGTTTAGATACTGAAAAAACCTCACTTTCAGTGATTGGCGTGGGAACTGAGGCACCGGCCAGATGCAACACGGTTGCGCAGGGTATTTTGCAATCTAGTTCAGATCAGAATTTCGCGATGGGATTTTTCACTCTAGTCCTGAATGAGCTTACGGGTTGTCTACCTAAGGAGAAAGTTATTCAAGGGCATTGGCCTCATATTAATGGGCTGACTTTAGCCGATCCCCAATTCGCAGTGCCCGCGAGAGTAGATTGTATTTTAGGAGCCGACGTATATTCCACTTTGATTCTGGATGGCATAAAAAGGGGTCCGATTGGGTCACCACTAGCTCAACAGTCTGTCTTCGGCTGGTTATTGACTGGAGCCGTATCGCCATCGCCTGCGAAAGATTCGCCCAAGTTGGTTCGCTCATTTCATGTGGTTGCGGAACCATCACTTTCACAGCAGCTTGCGACGTTTTGGGAGATTGAAGAGGTGCCTCGCAAGGTTCCTTTAACTCCAGACGAGGACTTTTGCGAGATGCATTTTTCGAGCACGCATTTTCGCGATGAGAATGGGCGTTTTGTGGTCCGTTTGCCATTTGCCAAGCGCCCTAATTTGGTTGGTTCCCGCGATCTAGCTGCAGCCTGTTTGCGTCATTCTGAGCGACGATTGCAGAAGAATCCTCAACTCGCTGCTCGTTATCAAGCATTTATGCTCGAGTACATCGAGTTAGGGCACATGGAGTTAGTTCCTCCTCAGCAAGTTCCGAACCCTTCGTATTACCTGCCTCATCATGCAGTTGTTAAGCCAGACAATCTTGAAAAATTACGTGTCGTTTTCAATGCTTCTCAGAAGGCTAAAAATGGTCTTTCCTAGAATGATGTACTCTTGCCTGGACCGAAATTGCTGGCTAATATCTTAATCGTATTAACTCTTTGGCGCCGGTTCAAGCTTGTGTTTACAGCTGACGTGATCAAGATGTTTCGACAGATAGGGATTCATCCAGCTGATTCCGACTGGCAAAGAGTTCTGTGGAGGCAGGATGAATCGCAACCAATGCAAGATTATCGGTGTGTCACGGTGACCTACGGCACTGCTTCAGCCCCATATCTCTCGCTTCGAGTCATGAAGCAGCTTTCGCTCGATGGTGCCCATGAATATCCTGAGGCAGCTGTCATCCTTCAACAGATGCTGTATGTTGATGACATTTTCGCCGGCGCAGACTCTGTGAACGATGCTCTTCGTAAGCGAGATCAGCTGTTGGCGTTACTCGGAATGGCTGGTATGGCACTCAGCAAGTGGGCGGCTAACGAGGATCAATTATTGTCAGGCTTACAATCCACTGCTTACAAGACGGAGGTAACGGTAAAAAACACCGAGGTAATCTCAACTTTGGGTCTTAAATGGTTGCCAGGCGAGGATACCTTTACTTTTTCAGTTCATACTGCATCTCAAGCTCTACAAGTCACTAAGCGTTCGATTTTATCTGAAATAGCCAGATTATTTGACCCACTTGGCTGGCTGGCACCTATAATTATTGTAGCTAAAGTTTTAATGCAAGACTTATGGCTTGATAACCTCGATTGGGACACGCCAGTGCCGGAATCTTTACAGGATAGGTGGCTGCAGTTCAAGGCTGAGCTTCCAAATATCTCTCTCATTCGGATCCCAAGGTGGCTTAACACAACTGAGAAGGAAGAGTGGCATCTACATGGGTTTGCTGACGCATCGCAGAGAGCATACGCAGCTGCTGTTTACTCTGTCGTACCAGGTCGTCAGCCTATGCTTCTGTTGGCGAAGACTAAGGTCGCACCAACAAAGGTTCAGTCACTGCCGAGGTTGGAGCTCTGCGCTGCTACCCTGCTGGCACGACTTATCAATCATCTGCTTGAATCGCTGCTAAAACCGCCGGTTAACATCCACGCCTGGTCGGACTCTAGGGTTGTTTTGGAATGGCTAAAGAGTCATCCTTCAAGGTGGCAGACCTTCGTGGCCAACCGGACTAGCGAAATAAAAACCCGGTTGCCAACTGCGACTTGGAGGCACGTGAGGTCCGCCAATAATGCAGCAGACTGTGCGACTAGAGGCCTCACACCATCCGTACTCGCCGATTATCAGTTGTGGTGGCATGGACCAGCTTGGCTGCCACTGCCAGAGTCTGCTTGGCCGACTTTAGGCCCCTTTAAACCCCAGATAGATGAAGAGGTTCACGTTCTTGCAGCCACCGAAGTGAAAATCGACGATGACAGAACAACTTCTGGATGTAACTGCTTACCATCCCTTCAGCAGTTCTCAAATTTTAGCAAGATAATTCGTATTTTAGCTTACTGCTGTGCTTGGCGTTTTAAAGCCACTGCAAAAACCCAAGACTCAAATCGAATCTTGTCTCAAAGAGACTGGGCCATGGCTCGTATCTACTGTTTCAGAGCCATTCAACTCCAACATTTTAAAGAAGAGCACGCTCAGTTACTCTCTGGGAAGCCGCTCTCCAAACGAAGCCTGCTCGCACGTCTTAGCCCGTTTGTATGCAGTCAAGGTCTCATTCGGGTTGGAGGACGTCTACACCTCTCAGCACTTCCTTACAACGAGAAGCACCCTGTGATTTTACCTGGTGCGTGTATCTTTGTGAAACGCCTAGTAGAAGAGACCCATGAATTGACACTCCACGGTGGCACCCAACTCATGCTGTCGCACTTGTACCGATCCCTGTGGATAACAAGAGGATCTGCTGTGGCCACAGGAGTTTATCGACGCTGCGTACGATGTGCTCGTTTCAACGTACCACGCCTGACCCAGCAGATGGGACCGTTGCTGATTACACGCACAACGCCTTCTCGTGCCTTCACGGTTACTGGGTTGGACTATACCAGTCCGTTTCCTGTGCTGTTCTCAAGAGGCAGAGGAGCAAAAACGACGAAGGGCTACATCGCTATATTTATTTGTCTTGTTACTCGAGCAGTACATATTGAAGTGGTGTCTGACCTTTCCACCGATTGTTTCATTGCAGTTTTTACTCGTTTCACAGCTCGTCGAGGTGTGTGCCACACCATTTATTCAGACAACGCCACCACGTTCACGAAAGCAGCGAAGGAGCTAAAAGCTCTGTTCAACTCGGCGTCGCCTTTCTTCGACTGCATTGCCTCTACACTGGCTAGTCGTGGCACCGAGTGGTCCTTTATCCCTCCACGAGCTCCTCACTTTGGTAGTCTGTGGGAGGCTGCCGTTCGGAGCTTTAAACATCATTTCCGTAGAGTGATTAGAGAGCTCAAGCTCACCTTCGAAGAGCTTACTACATTGGCCACTAAGATCGAGGCCTAACTGAATACCAGGCCACTCTGTCCACTCAGCACCGATGCCAACGAAGCAGTTGCACTGACGCCGTCGCACTTCCTGGTGGGCACCTCATTGCTCGCCCATCCCGAGCCGTACGATGATACAAAACAACCAGCATCCTTCAACAGTCGCTGGAGGTTGCTCAGCCTTCTGCGGGATTAATTATGGGCCCGCTGGAGGAAAGAAGTGCTTCATCATCTACAACGTCGCAACAAATGGCTAAACCCAAGGCCTAATTTGCGGCAAGGTGACGTAGTACTGCTGACTGATGAACTTTCCCCCCCGACCCAGTGGCGACTTGGTCTGGTGACTGAGACCCATCCAGGGGATGACGGACTCGTACGGGTTGCCACGGTGAAAACTGCGGATTCATCATTCAAGCGCCCCATCGTGAAGTTGATTAAACTCCCTACCGAGCCTAAATTGGAGCAGCTCTATCAGCAACTAAGAGTCTAGTTGCTTAAAATGAACCGCTGTAAAATTTTGTTAAAAGAAAATCCAAGAGTTCGGTAGCTTCGATAGGGTAGCTAAAAGTACATTTTTCTATTCATTATAATTAATGTTAATTTAGTTTTGAAATTTTATGATTTAATTTATTTTCTTTGAAACCAAGTGCCTGTTATTCAATTATACAGAATTTTTGATATTGTTGTAAAACTACCTAAGAAGCGTTGGTAGTCTAGGGACAGTTTCTAATAGCTTATTAGGCTTTCCTATTCTTAAGTAGTGAATAATTGTTTTGTTGACGCAAGTACGTCAAAGTGGGCGGAATGTTCACTTATAAGTAAATATTTGTAGGGGACTTACTGCACGGTGCACGAACTGTATAACATTATACAAGAAACTGGCTGGTAAACACGGAAGGGGCTCGCGCACACAAGTAAGGTAGTGTAAACTGCTCCGTCTAAGCTTGTATTGGTGTGCTCGACCCCCGCCCTATTAATTCCCGATCTTCGGGGCACTCTGGCTATCGCTCTGCTGTGTTCGCGCCGGGTTAAGAGTCGGCTTTCGTGGGCTCTCGAAGAAGGTCGGAAAGCTCCCGCGTGGCAGCCAGGCTCTCGTAGTTCAGTTGAAAAGTCGGCCATCGAACACAGAACGAACAAAACTAGATCTTTCCACGCAGACGGGAGTTTGTCAACAGTTTTCGTTCCCCGCTGTATCAAGGAAGCTTGTTGATCAAACTCGTCATCGAGCAGTGAATCCTCTCTCCCACTAGAGTGAATTCAGTAAGATCTTGTAATTGTCCTCTTTGTTTGAGGTAGTATTTTGTTATTTGTTATTAAAAGCTTAAACTCCTTGAACAACGCTTTCAATCGTTGTTTCGTGGCAGTTAGCTGTTTATTAATTTCATTCGCATGCCCGTCTCAAATTTCCTCGAGACATTCTCTTGGTGATTGAACGTTATATATTTTACTAATAAACAACTTTGGTTCGTTTAAAATATTGTCGTTGATATTTAGTTTCAACCTCCTTTGCTTAAGAAACCAAAGGAAAATTATAATTTCCGAAGGAGAAACATTTCCTGATGTGAGTACAAGATCCTACAAGGATAAACAAAAGATAAAAAAAACTGGTGATTTCGATTCGTGACTTAGAAAATTAGAGCCACGAGAAAAAGCCAGAGCAACTTTTCAAATATTTTCAATTCTGATTAGGGAAGATGTAAGTCCTGAATAGCTCAGTTGGTTAATGGTTTCATCGACATGAAACCGTTGATTCAATTTGATCTCTTCAGGGCTTGCATATTATTAATATTTTTTTTTATATTTTTTATTTATATATTTTATTACACCTAATATTTATAAGTATGGGATTTTTT